ACGACTGCAATAATTATAATCTATGTTGAAAGAATGTGGTACATTAACGCAGAGGAAAAAAAACTACATTCTGTGAAGTATTTTATGAAATAAAGTAGCATATCCTTCTGGGGAAATTCTAGGATTCTCGGTCGGATCAGGCCGCTTGTTGTCCTTGCAACGGGAACAGTGATTAATTAATAGGCGACGGCGATACACCAATGAAAAACTACTGTCAGTGAAATAAGAATCCATGCATTTCTTTTTATTCTCTCAGGAAAATCATGTGATATATCCTCAACCTTTTTTGTAACGTCATAGGACATAATTGTTTAGGGATATTTAAAATTGCATACTTCAGGAAACCCTAATTTAGCTTACTTCATGACACCCATCAATAGCCGGATATACAGCTTCAATTGTCTCTAACTGCATTCGTTCATTATAGATGTAATTTACAAATACACAGCTTTTAGACAAGAGAATTATCATATGTGTTTCAAATTTTATAAAATGAACACAATTATATTGAATTACGGAAGACTAAGTACTCTCAAGATGACATGACTGTATATTTTTTGATAACCATTTCAATAAACCCTATACTTCATTTGTTCCCAGTATTTCTATCTCGTTCAGCAAGTAAATAACATCACCCCACCGTCGATGGCATTCTCTACTCAAACATTTGTACTTTAGAATAATTATATCATCATGATTTTCTTAACATACTTAAAATAAAATGATCGAAAACCAAACTATAAAACATTTTCTGCTTGTATAGTGTGGACTGTTCGGTAAATAACGCTTCATCGCAACGCATTGTTTTTTTTTTAAATCAAAATAGCTTTTATGCAGGATCTGGCCTTAAAAAAAAAAAAAACATATTTATATATTACGAATAAACCGAATACCTAGTCAGCATGTATTTTCCAATTCGGATTAACAACAATGATTTTTGCTCATCAAAAATTCGTCTTTGAAGGCATTAATTTTCCTCGGAGTAAATTACAGATATCAAATGTTGAAACTTAAATTGATGTTTGACATGTACGAAAACCTATTAGGATCAATCTAGAGTGAAAAAAAATTTAAAAGGTTTTATAACGCCTTTTAAAAAGACGTAATAACGCGAAAAAAGGCGTTATAACGCATTTTGAAAACAGGCACGTAGCATCGTTTTTGAAAGTTGGGGGGATGGCAACCAGGGACATTATTTTTATTTTACTTACCTGTAAAATTTGACACCCCCCCCAAAAAAACAACAATAAATTGCCCAAACTCGAAAATCCTATTTCGTGGGGAAGGGGGAGGGGGGTGTAGTGGCCGGCTTTTTCCGAGGCCAACCTCCTTTTACTTCCAATTTTTTGGCATACAATACTACATTTCCTTCATATCACTATACTGTGGTAAGAAGTTGAGGGGGGGGGGGGGGCAACCAACCTTTCAACCAACCAACCCCCCTTCCCCCGTTGCTACGTCCCTAGAAAAGGCGTTTAAACGCCTTTTTAAAAGGCCTAATTACGAGTTTCCATTCTAAAAGTCGTTATTACGAGTTTCCATTCTAAAAGACCTTATTTCTATAAGGTGTTGTTACACCTTTTCAAAAAGGCGTTATAACGTCTTTCCATTCAAAAAGGCGTTGTTACGCCTTTTGGAAAGGCGTCACAACGCCATTTAAAATGGTGTAATAATGCCTTTTTAAAAGGCCTTTATAAAAGGCGTTATTACGCCTTTCCAAAAGGCGTTATAACGCCTTTTCATTCAAAAAGGCGTTAAAACGCCTTTCCAAAAGGCGTTATAATTCCTTTCCATTCAAAAAGGCGTTATTACACCATTTTAAAAGGCGTTATTATGCTTTTCCAAAAGGGTTATTCCTTTTTTTGAATAACCATTATTTTGCAATTAACAGGCCAGTGCTTTTAATACCACCCCCACCCCCACCCCCCCCACACACAACCACCATCACCACCACCACCACCATCCCCACTCTACTGGCCAAACTCGTAGGGTGACTGTTCGGTAAAAGAACTACATGTACACTAGACAAAATTGCTAACGCACCACTTAGAATTCTTCTTTGTTGATTGAACATTTGCCTAATTGATATTAGTTTATATAATACGCCATATTTTCCGATACAATGGGATTGGCAATGTCTTGGTGTCAGAAGAAAACCCCAAAATGACCTTCTCTCCTGAAAACCAGTTTCCCGACATGTATTGCATGCCCCTTTTTTTGCTTAGATATATGCGCCAGGAACAGTCATGTAAAAAGTAAAAAAAAAAGATCAAATAATATGCAGCGATTGACTTTTATATCGCCTGCTAGTCATCTAATGCATTGGTGTCCATACCCAGTCCACTCAACTTCCGGTTGCCCCAATTTTGTGCAACGACATTGAAAATGTGGTGTTGTGTTTACTTAATGGATTGGCTCTCTAGAGTGAACATTTTTATGTTTACTAATCTATTTGCAACATTCTTTCACTAGAAGAATAAATATTGATTTCATTGTTTTGATTTTTTCAATTTTTTCCAAAGGAACCCCCTGCAGACACCATACTGTCTGTTTTATCACGCTCTTCTGGGATCAAATGCTGAATATTGTATAATTTTTTTTTCTGATTTTCTAATTAGTATAAGCATAAAGAAGAAAAATGCTCTGAAAAAATTAGAAATTAATCCCTCCAAATTAGTATGAATAACATTTTCACGTTTTCTATGAAATAATCATGCTTCAGTTGACATTGTATTTATTTATCTATAAACATAATTAAGACGTATCATAATAATATATCAAATTCATCATAAATAAGCTTTGAAAAGTAAAATATTACTTTCATTTGGTGGTGCATTAGCAATTTTGTCCAGTGTATATGCGGTATATTGCATATATTTGCCCCCACAAAAGTCAAATTTTGAAAACTTCCTGAAATGTGCTGTATTCAATAAATTGTATGGAAAATATAAATTAACAGAAAATATTATAGTGTCAAAGCAGTGTATTCACAGTTTTTGTTTTCTATGACGTCACAAACTAGTCCTATTTTATATCCTTTTTCAGAAAGAGGACAAAATGGACAAAATTTCAACAATTTTAGCTTTAAGATTTATAGAGCACAAGTTTGTTCAGGAACAATATTGACATATTTTATTGATATAAATTATCATTCTACACATTATATCAAAATATTGATCTTGAACACACATGCGCTCGGTGACTTTTACTCAAAATATCGACGAAATGTGTACATTTTTCAGTAAAATTCATAAAAAACTAAAATTTACGTCACGTTTGTCACGTCATTACGTACATATGGCGTCATGATTTTTTTAATAAACGGAACAAGGTAATTCAGTGAATTTGTGTCTGGAAAAAGTAAACCATGGGGGGGGGGGGGTTCGGATCCCCTTGACTGAATTTGTAGAATTATTGAATGTATACATGTATACTGAAGCAAATAAAATAAGCCAATATGGATAAATTATAAATATTATATTTGATTGCTTATTCTTTATTTATTTTCCAAATTTATGCATATTTGCATTCAGAAAGAGTCTTGTCATCAAAATTCACCAAAAAGTAAATTTATGAAAATTAAACATTAAGGGCCCTTTTCTCGTGACGGCAGTCATTTATCTTTTTAATTATAAATAATTTTTGTTGAATTGACATAGATAGTTAATGCCTAAATCCACATTTTGTTTTAAGCATTGCAAAATGATACACGTATATCTGTACATCAACAATCAAAAGGTACCTTAGGCTAGTATTAATATTCAAATATTTCAATCATGTGCATCTGCATTTGTGTCTGACGCTAAGGAGGTCCAATATGCAAGTAATTCTTATGCAGCGCCCTTTGTGTCTGACGTCAATTGATGGGGGCTGTTGAAATTGTCAAGGATGGCCTATCCCATTCAAGAGATAAATTCCACATCCAAAAACACTGAATTTCCACCACCCTGTTTTTTAGGGGCTGTAGCGACCTGTATTCTGCTTTATTCCTTATGAAAAAAGCATACGTTTCATCAATATTATTTTAAAAAAAAGCTAAATAAAATTTTATTTTTAATGAAAAGTAACATTCATTTTTACTCCTTTACAGACAATATACAGATGTATAACATTGACACTATACCTTGAACAGGAGGTATAGTTCTTACATAGACTATCTTAAAGCAATGCCTTCTATTCGCTTCACGATATTTGATAGCAAAAATGCTGTTGCTCAATGATTGATTGATTCTATATTTTCGTCCATCTCAAGAATTTTTCATATGGAGACGACATCACTTGCCAGTGGAGAGCAGCACCTTTTGTCCTTTACTCGGCACTAAGGCTCATTGAGCAGAGAGGGATCTTTTTTCTTGCCAACAGCTACCGCGACACGGGACCTCGGTTTATACGGTCTCATTTGAAGGACCAGTCTCCACTTCCCACATCGGATTCGAACCCACGGCGTAAGAATCAACTCCTTACTTCACAACTCTAGAGCAAACACTCTAACCTCTGCGCTACACGGCCGATGATGCTGAACGAAAAACGTTCGTTAAAATTTAAATAAAGCAAGTATAATTTCACACTAAGAAACGATAGTTGATTTGTTTCATGGCTTTTCCGAAGAAAATCTTTCCTTTACTGTATTACATGTTTTTCAATATCTCCCAACATCCAATTTTACGACTACAATTATTTTAACCTGTTATTATTGTTAACTATATGTACGTTATTAAAATCATATTCGTTGGGTTAGGGTGTTCTGATATACTTAGAATTATTTGAAAGTTCATAAAATGTCATTATTATGTTATTCTAAAAGAGAAATGTTATCATTAAATTAGAAACTTAATGAAAGACAAATATGTATGTGTTGTTTGGAATTTTATATGGACCGTGAAATGATTCATTAGTACATTGACAGGGTTACAATTGGGTATGGAGTGAACATAGCAAAAGTGATCTCGTCTTTCTACATATATATTGGCACATTTATGAATTAACACATTTTTTTCAGAATGGCGTTAAGTAAAGTGTTTACTCCAAGTGACAGAACAAGATTTGCAAGACTTGCTTTGATCATAGTGGAAGAGCTGACGCCTATTTTACTAGACGTGTTAGAAAAGGAAATTTCTCCTCGTGTTATATTCAATACAGTCAAAGCAAATACACCATTGTTTAAAATCATTCGCAAAGATCAGCTACTTGTCATCCAGAATGCACATACTGATGGATACAGAGACTTTGACATTACATTGCTTAATACATTGATACGTAATCTTTGTTCCAATATTCCATCTCCCACACAAGGATGGGGGATCACAGAAATGCCATCTCAGGGAGAGGTTAGTTTTGGAGATGACATAGAACGCATCCGCTTAATTAAAAACAAATTGTATAGCCATGTTTCTAACATGTGTATTTCCCAAACTGAATTCAATGAGTATTGGGCTGTCATGTACAGCCTGTGTCAAAGAACAGGGAACCACCTACATAAAAATTACATTCAGAGTCTTCAATTTGCATGATATCGACCATTAAATGAGGAAGTAGAAAAAGAGTGGATGGAGAAAATTAAAAAAAAATCGTCTGAAAGCGAGAAAGAAGTCATTGAAGTTATCAGAGAACTAACAGCTTCAGTGAGATTAGAAAAGAGGTAATGATCATGATTTATCTACAGTATTGAAACATGCAATTTTAAAATAAAACTAGAGCAAACAATCGTTCTTCTGGGGGTAAGGTATAAGATATATCATTACAGAAACTGGCTTCTACTACCCCGCCTTTATCTGGATACTTATTTTCCCCAGAAAATAGAATTTTGCTAAACCTTTCTTGATTTTCAATGATAATACTCTCCTTTCATCATAAGAAGAAATTTTGTCGACGGTGTGTTTGAAATATAATAAATGATATTTTTACTCTCAAACTCCTGTTACTACCATTAACACCAACATCCATTCCCTACCACCAAAAAGGAAAGTACATGTATTAATAAAACGAATATGTAAGGCCCTGTAACGTGAAATTTAGAAATAAATACTTTTAAATTACTGTCATCCAGTTCCAGTAAACCTGCAGAGCCTACACTTACAGTTTCAGATATAAACCATTACTAAAATGTATTTTTTTCTTTTTTTGAAGGATTGTTCACTGCATCTGCAAAAGTTAATGCCGAAGCAAAAGACCGAGCAAAGAAAGAACTAGCAGAATTTTTACTGGAAAAACCATTGACCTTTTGAATCATATGGTAGAATGTATCAATGTAGTAACAACAGAAGAGGAGTAAAAGGAAATTTTTGACACAGTAGAAAGCCTTTTAAAGGAAGGTTCAAACGAAATAATACGGGACTCTATCAAACCTTTCTTTGACAAACTGTCATCAAAAATAAAAACCTATGCAAATCAACAAGTTCGAAAGATCAGTATTTTGAAAAATTTCACGAAATTTGTCATCTTTTTAAGAACAAAGTATGGTCCTGATATAAAAAGCTACCAAAGCAGTTTGTTACTTCACCTGACATTTCTTTCGAAGGAGGGATATGAACTTTATGAAAAAGACTTGGAGAGAGGAGAGATAGGAAAAGACATTCTTGATTTGCTTTTATACCCACTATATTTAGCTTGGTTCGATTTAAAAGCCCACGATCTGATAATATCATTAAACAACCAAACAATCTACGTGTACGATGATGCTGGTAAGTAAGTTTGTTTAGTACTGTTCGGGGTTATTAAACTGGATTATTGGCACAGAAGCTTTTTTTATTCTAAAACTATTACTTTTTATTTAAGGTGGCTCATTACATCCACGGTTTATTTTGTATTTCATAACAGCACCAATTATAATGTAGATGTCAAATATCCAAATGGAGGTATTGATATCATAAATATTTTTCATGAAATTTGATTTTTTTTTCCAATTTACATTGAAATTATGGTAAAATTCTTTAAGGTACATTGATAGTCTGATGAGAGAGATTACTCTCAATGACACAAATGTCTATCATTCCTTTATAAATTTGTCAAGTTAAAAAGACTTTTCTGTCAAATTTTGCCCCACAAGCCCTGCTTTAATTGTTCATATATTATTCGGCATATACATTTCCTTTTGAAAATCATAATAAAAAATAAAGAAAAATTACATATGAGTGAGCAGAGGGTTTATGAACCTTAAAAATCTTCTTCTCATGAATATCAAAGCCGTGACTGATCATATTTATAGAGAAGCATCCTCAGGTAGTGTAGATTCAAGTTTGTTCGAATCATGACCCCGGGAAGTAGGGCGAAGCTAAAATGACCGATCAATGCTTTACATAAACATATATAGAAAAATTCATATACATGTAAATTTTCTTATCAAGAATATCAAAACAAAATTTGATCATATTGATATGGAAGCATTCTCAGGTAGCGTAGATTCAACAATAACAAAGCCAAAAACGCTCATATTTATATGGAAGCATCCTCAGGTAGTGTAGATTCAATTTTTTTTAATCATGACCCCCGAGGTAGGACGGGGCCAAAATGGCCGATCAAAGTTATACATAGAAATATATAGAAAAATTCTTTAAAACCTTCTTCTCAAGAATAATAAAGCCATAATTGATAATATTTATATGAAGGCATACTCATGTAGTATAGATTGAAGTTTGTTCAAATCATGACCCCCGGGGGTAGGACGGGGCCAAAATGGCCCATCAAAATGAATATTTACATAGAAATATATAGGAACATTCTTTCAAAACCTTTTTCTTTAAAATAGAAAAGCCATAATTGATTATATTTATATGGAAACATCCTAAGATAGTTTAGATTCAAGTTTCCTCAAATAATGACCCCTGGGAGTTGAGAGGGGCAAAATTGGCCTATAATATTTTTATATAGAAATAAATTGGAAAATTCTTTTAAAATCCTCTTCTTAAGAATAACAAAGTCATAATTGATCATATTTATTTGGAAGCATCATCAGATAGTGTAATTCAAGTTCAAATCATGAATCCCGGGGGTAGGGCGGGGCCAAAATTGCATATCGAAGTTTTACATAGACATATACAGGAAAATTCTTTAAAATTCTTCTTCTCAAGAATAGCAAAGTCATGATTGATATGGGACTACTTTTAGATTTAAACTTTTCAGTAATAAATCAATTTTTTAATTTGTCCTAACCACAATGCTCACGTGAGCTATGTGGCCCATGTTGCCTTTTGATATTAATCCGAGTAATCATTGCCAACTACATCAAAGAAAAAATTGCAAAGATTGGCTTTCATGTTTTTATAACAAGCTATAATTGATTGGTTAATGAAACAAGTCCGGTAAAATTACATATACAAATTTACAATTAAAGCAACTTTTAATGTAAAACAGGTACATTTTAAACTGCAAACAATGACATGACGTCAAAGTAATGTTTTAATCACTGTGGGAAGACCTTTCATTGGATTCCAACAGCACCCATACTTTAAAACTTAAACATTGGCCATAACTTTTTAACGGTAAGGTCACGGGCTTTAATACTTTACATATGCAATCCTTGTGAAAAGGATGCAGCCATCTTTGACCCCTTGACCTTGACTTACGAGTTTGACCTTGACCATAATTTTTGAACAGGTTTTGCAAGGGCTTTTATATTTTACAAATCATATGTACAGTTGTATTTCTTGTGGGAAGGCCTTACTTTGGTTATCAACATATGTGATTTGCGTTTGAAAAGTTGCGATTGAAAAAGGTAAATCTCAACAATGTTGCCATTTTGGAGCCACTGTGTTTCACAAATACATGTCTCTTTGTTGTACTCATATTTACAATTATAAATACATGTACTATTACAGAATAACGTTGAATTTATTTTCATTTAAGACATACTGCATCGAATGATGGACCCCCGTACCAGTGCTCTGGATTTGATACGATGTGACCTGTGTGAGACCGCTGTGGTACAGATGCACTGCGATACATGTCTTGTCAACCTGTGTAAAGCCTGTATGGGAAAATACACGAAATATGATGAATCCAAAGCCCATAAATTCGTCAAATTTCAGTTCAGGAAATCTAACCCCGTCTACCTTGGATGTGAATCTCATAGCATACAGCAATGTGTGAACCAATGAGAAGGAATAATTGTCTTTTCTTAGAATTTATTTAACAGTTTTGGAATTAGCAGAGAATACAAACGTGAATCATATAGTGGTGAAAAGCAAAGATAATGATCGTTAAACGGCCCTTGATCGTATAGCATCTCTCGATCCCTCCTAGAGCGTAGCTCCGAAGAGCCCCGCTCTGAGAAGTGTGGCCAAGATGAGAGCGAGAGAGTGAGCTAGAGCTAAGAATATCTCGAAGATCGCCGTAGATAGTATTTATAATGTACAATACATAATAGCCATTTGCATATACGATAAACAAGTTATTCAATAAATGGGTCTAAATCCTGGAATTTTGACGAAACAATATATAATCTAAACATAGTTTTTTTTAAACTGGTGGTCAGTGTCCTTGTATTAGGCAAAAGTAAGTATAACTTTAATATAAACTTTAATAATGTTCAGTTATTGTTCCTGGATTGATGTCCGTAGATAGATAAACATCCTAGTATGTTATATAGTCCTTAATCCGATTAACTTGTTTGTTTACTTTTACGGAAAAGTCTTACACTTCTGTATCCTTCTTGAATTAGGGGTCAGTGCACTCTATCATGAGTACATTTTAATATGCTTATTTTATTTTTCTTGATTAAAATAATTGTCTCAAATCCTATAGGTTTACATTCGTCCCCATGTAATTAGAAATTTCTGCAGGAAATTTCTGAACTACGGAACCAGACAATTGTTTTTATTTGGTTCACATGACTGTGATAGGAAACAGATTATGTAAATCCTTCGTAAAATCGGGAACACTCACGTTCACATGAGTAATCGCAATATGTTCATGGTCAATGGATATAAACAGTCTTTCAAAGATCTGTTCTTCTCGTACAGGTTTTATTTCACTGCTACATAGTATCAAAAGGATAAACGAATAGGGTGGATTATACAGTTATAGTTATATAAAATTATGGATATACAAAAGTTCACTTTTATTTCACTCATATTGGATGTGTACTTTTCTGTTCCTTGATTTTAGCAGGATTAATGGCGATGCAAGTTGTCGAACGTTACTCATTATCAGTTCATGGAATGGAAACACTCCGGGTGATTATAAAAAGTCATAAGTATATATACCTTGTACGTCTTAATGAAGTTCAGTCTCATAGTTTATATTCTCGTAATTCGGAAATTGTAATTAACAAAAAGCAATGATAAATTCGTAAAATACTGCAAGAGCAATCAATTACATCATTGGTTTCCACCGTCGTCTTCATTCGTAAACATCATCTAATTTACTGCTATCACCTGTCGTATTCTTCATTTCTACGACTTCTTGTGATTTCCACACTAATATACTAAAAATAAACATGGTACTATCCTCTTCATCATCGCATTCTCTGAGCGAATTAATTCAGGATCAGTACAAACACATATGACGGATCCAAAGACACTGGATCAGACGTTTTCTCTGCCCTTGGTATCATACAATGTACCAACGTCATAGAAAAAAATATGCTTCAAATGCAGTCCACGATAAAATCCAATGTTTCTTTGATAAGTGATGCAATATTGTCCAATTAAAGTCAAAACTTCGAATCAAATGTAGTCTATTTTCAAATTCCATAAATATGAGACAACAAACCTGACGTTAACTTCATCATCATTTTCTCCTGACTTGCTACGTTTTCCTTCCACGTTTGGTATCTTCCAGTATCTCGCACATTCTGGTCACGGCACCAAATTTGGTTTTGTGAACCAATGAGAAGGAATAATTGTCTTTTCTTAGAATTTATTTAACAGTTTTGGAATTAGCAGAGAATACAAACGTGAATAATATAGTGGTGAAAAGCAAAGATAATGATCGTTAAACGGCCCTTGATCGTATAGCGTCTCTCGATCCCTCCTAGAGCGTAGCTCCGAAGAGCCCCGCTCTGAGAAGTGTGGCCAAGATGAGAGCGAGAGAGTGAGCTAGAGCTAAGAATATTGAAGATCACCGTAGATAGTTTTTATAATGTACAATACATAATAGCAATTTGCATATACGATAAACAAGTTATTTAAAAAATGGGTCTAAATCCTGGAATTTTGACAAAACTATTTATAATCTAAACATAAGTGTTTGTAAACTGGTGGTCAGTGTCCTTGTATTAGGCAAAAGCAAGTATAACTTTAATATAAACTTTAATAATGTTCAGTTATTGTTCCTGGATTGATGTCCGTAGATAGATAAACATCCTGGTATGTTATATAGTCCTTAATCCGATTAACTTGTTTGTTTACTTTTACGAAAAAGTCTTACACTTCTGTATCCTTCTTGAATTAGGGGTCAGTGCACTCTATCATGAGTACATTTTAATATGCTTATTTTATTTTCTTGATTAAAATAATTGTCTCAAAGCCTATAGGTTTACAAATGTACAATTTACTGTAACCAAAGTGACATTCCTGTTTGTACAAAGTGTCTAGCATCTGATCAACACTGGGTCATAAGTTATCAGAAATTTTACAGATTGTGGGCGAGAAAAAGAGCAAAATCATCAAAGATCAAATTGAATTTAAGGAAACAATTTATCCAACCTACATGGACATTGCCTCTGATGTACAAAACAGAATAAGTCAGTTAGAAAAGGAGTATGGAGATCTTTCAACAGCTTTAACAAAACATGGAGAGGACTGGCACAGAAAAATTGACCAACTTGTCAAGAAACTTAAAGCTGAAGTTGCTGAGATGAAAATCACACAGTTAAAAACTCTACAAAAACATCTGGTTGAAATGAACAAGAACATTACTGAAATCAAGGATGTAGTCAATTCAGCTGAAATAGCTTTAGATACACAGGACATTTCAAAACTATTTGCTGTTAAATCCAATTTAGACAGATATAGAAAGCTTCCACAAGAGATTGTTATTTCTAATCTTAAATTCTTGCCTGGGAAAATTCAACAAAAAGAACTCAGTAATCTGTTTGGAACTTTATTATCAAGTTCTTTAACTTCAGATAAACATGGCTACAGCATGAAGACAACACAAAAACATCAGAAGCTGGATCCTCTTCTCCAGTCAAACACCTGCTTGATGAACCAGAGACTGTCACCACCATAGACACTGGGTACAGTGAACTTTACAGTGTGGCTTGTCTGAGTGATGAAGGAATCTGGACAAGTGGAGATGACAACACCATGAAACTCTTCAGCATCAATCAGGGATCACTACTTAAGTCAATCACAACCACGTCAGGGACCTGGCCAGAGGACAAAGCAGTGACAAAAATTATGGATCTTGTTTATACTGATTACCATGATAGAACTGTGAACATTGTGAAGAATGAGGAGGTGATCAAACTACAGAACTGGGGACCTGATGGTATCTGTAGTACCTCCTCTGGTGACCTCATGGTTATCATGATCAGTGATGATAACAAACTGTTACAAACAAAAGTTGTCCGTTACTCTGGTTCCACAGAGAAACAGACCATTCAGTTTGATGATCAAAGTAAACCTCTCTATTCGATTGGTGATCATAACACATACTACATAACTGAGAACAGAAACTTGGATATCTGTGTGTCTGACAGTAGAGCTAGAGCAGTAGTGGTGGTCAATTAGGCTGGGAAACAGAGATTCAGGTACACTGGACATACTCCTGCTCCGAAGAACAAACCATTCTATCCTCTAGGAATCACCACATACAGTCAGTGTCATATCCTTACAGCTGATCCTAAAAATGACTGTGTCCACATCATAGACCAGGATGAACAGTTCCTCCATTACATAAACTGTGGACTGAGTTATCCCTGGGGACTGTGTAAAGATACAAATGACAATCTGTTTGCCGCTCAGTGGGGAAACAGACAAGTGAAGAAAATCAAATATCTCAAGTGAATTCTGCTTATGTACTGTAGTTAAGCATTTTAATATGGTGATTCACAAATGAACATTCACATTTTGTTTTTATACTATATCTCTTTCAAGCTTAGTTAAATGATGGATGTGAATGTTCAGCTAAAATCAAAATATAACAAGCTAATTCAGAGAATTCGTTTCCCCCGCTTAGGGAAAAAGTCGGATCCCCCTGACTGAATTTGTAGAATGATTAAATGTATATATGTATACTAAAGCAAATAAAATACATGTATGTCAATATAAATATAAAGATTTGATTGCTTATTCTTCAATATGTGTATAGAAGATTCTTTTTTATATGGAATATTTATCACACTGTGATGATGATTTTATGAGTTTGTACAAGCCAGACCTCCTAAAATTTTCATTCCACATGCTGAATACTTTCATTTAGTAAAAAAAATGTATTTTGTTATGGGTCAGAATAACCCTAAATGCCAGCAAAGATCAATAACACAATTTAAACTTAACAATAATTTATTTACAGTAATATATAATAAGTATATGAAACATAAAGTACAAACTTAGCAAGAATCTAAAAATACATACATCAGAGTGTCCGTTGCTGCACACAATGTCCCAGTGAAAATATATATCCCAGTTATATCTCAATAGTGCTTATACGACAAAGTCTCTCTATGCATCGAATTGACAGGGTATTTATACAGTATCATAAATCTAGAATATTCTAGAAGTTGTGAGTCTATGATACTACTGGAAAGTTATGGACATATACAAAGTTCAGGAATGTTCTAGAAAAAAATGACCGAACATGTTGACCACTCTGGAATGTTCAAGAAACTTAATGTTACTAATAATAATCATGATGAAACAATACACATCTCATAACACCTCCCCCCTTAAAAAGTTTGAATGTCAATGAAAACTTATATTGTCAAAATGAAATACATGTACATTAATACAAAATCATATATATTCACGATACTCTGGACAAGGCATCTGCAATAACACTGTCTTTGCCTTTGATATGCTTAATTGTTATGTTGTATTCTTGTAACAACAAACTCCATCTAGTCAGTCTTTGATTCTTGTTTGACAATTTATGCAAAAATGTCAGGGGGTTGTGATCCGTATATACAAGAATTGGATGCAAAGTAACATTCAAATAAACATCATAATGCTGTAAGGCTAACAACAAAGCAAGGCATTCCTTTTCAATGGTGGAATAGTTTTGTTGACATTTTGTAAGTTTCTTTGAAAAATAAGAAACAACTCTATCTACATTATCACTATGTTCTTGAAACAAAGCTGCCCCGATTCCAACATCACTAGCGTCAACAGTAAGCTTAAATTGCTTAGAAAAATCTGGAGTTGACAGAACTGGGTTGCTCATAAGGACAGATTTGATTTTATGAAAGGATTTTTAACAGTCCTTTGTCCATTCAAAGTTAACCCTCTTTTGTAAAAGATTTGTAAGTGGACCAACTACTAAGGAAAAATTTGGACAAAATTTTCTGTAAAACCCAGCCATGCCCGAAAACCTCATTAACTCTTTCTTGTTTGTAGGAATCGGGAACTTTGCAATAGCTTCCACTTTAGCCATTATGGGTGTAACATAACCTTGACCTACTTTATGACCTAAATACTCTACATAAGCATGACAAAATTCGCTCTTCTCAAGATTCACAGTTAAGTTTGCTTTAGCTAAAATGTCAAATAAAGCACGCATGATTCGAAGATGTTCATCCCAAGTGTCACTGTATATGATGACATCATCAATGTAGGCCTCGCATCCCTCAAGGTCTTGAAGAAGGGAGTGAATCATCCTTTGGAATGTAGCTGGTGCGTTTTTCATGCCAAAAGGCATTACTTTATACTGGTAAAGTCCATCTGGTGTAGCAAAAGCAGATATTTGTTTTGCTCTTTCTGTTAACGGCACTTGCCAGTAGCCTTTCAATAGGTCAAATTTACTGACAAATTTGGCGTTTCCAATGTGGTCAATACAGTCATCAATTCTAGGTAGTGGATATGAATCAGTTTTCGTAACAGAATTCACCTTTCTAAAGTCTGTACATAATCGGTAGGTACCGTCCTGTTTTGTTACAAGAATACACGGTGAGCTCCAATCACTTTTACTAGGTTCAACAATGTCATTGTCCAACATGTACTGCACTTCCCTTCTTAGGTACTGCAATTTTATTGGATTCAGACGGTACGGATGTTGTTTGATAGGCAGAACGTCACTCACTATGACATCATGACAAGCTGCATTAGTTTTCATTGGAACATCCGAAAAGATTTGATGATACTCATTCATCAAGTTTTTAACTTGTTCTTTTTGGTGAATGTTCAAATGTCCAAGTTTGGCATCAAAGTCAGCCAAAATTTCGGAGTTTTTCAAGCGGACACTCTGATTACAATCTTTCTCATTCATCTCTACACTCGTATCACTTTCAATACAATTTTGAACAGTCTTAGCGTTGGCTAAAGTGGAAACTGGTATTACAGAATTTCGGTCACACCTTTCAAAATACTCTTTTAACATGTTAATGTGACAAACCCGTTTCTCTTTACGTCGACCTGGTGTCTTAACTACATAGTTTACATCACTGATCTTGCTTTCAATTTCATAAGGGCCATAAAATCTGGCCTGTAAAGGATGACCAGGAATAGGTAAAAATACAAGAACCTTATCACCTGGCTTAAACACCCTATTTCTGGCATCTTTGTCATACCACATTTTCATTTTCATCTGAGAACTCTTCAAATTTTCTTGTGCTAATTTACGAGCATTGTAAAGTTTTTCTTTGAAATCAGACACATAATCTAAAAGATTAAGATCACTAGTCTCAGTCAGCCACTTTTCCTTCAACAATTTCAAAGGACCTCTAACTGTATGACCGAACACCAATTCAAAAGGACTGAACCAAAGAGACTCCTGGACTGCTTCTCGTGCAGCAAATAGCACAAGATGAACCCCTTCGTCCCAGTCTTTTTCATACTGGTAACAATAGGTCTTCAGCATTGTTTTTAGGGTTTGATGAAAACGTTCTAGCGCTCCCTGGGACTCAGGATGATAAGCAGTTGATCTATATTGCCTTATACCCAACTCATGCATGACTTGCTGGAACAACCCCGACATAAAATTTGAGCCTTGATCCGACTGAATTGCCTTGGGTGCTCCTACAAAACTGAAAAACTTGGTTAGGGCCTTAACTATGCTCTTTGCCTTTATATTCCTTAGAGGTATGGCTTCAGGAAATCGAGTGGATGTATACATAATGGTAAGTAAATACTGGTTCCCAGATCTAGTCCTAGGCAAAGGTCCTACACAATCCACCAACACTCGACTTAACGGTTCTTCAAAAGCTGGAATGGGTTGGAGAGGGGCGGATGGTATCTTCTGATTCGGTTTACCTACCATCTGACAAACATGACATGACTTACAAAACTTCGAAACATCCTTTCTTAGCTTAGGCCAATAAAAATGACTCAAAATCCTATTATAAGTCTTATTGACACCTAAATGACCTGCCATAGGTGTATCATGAGCTAAACTCAATACATCTTGACGATAAGCAGCTGGTACCACTATTTGGTGAACAACACGCCACACTTCGTCTGGGGAAGTGTCAGGTGGTCGCCATTTTCGCATAAGGATGCCATCTTTCATATAGAAGCATTCTCCAACTTTAGTGGCCTCTTCTGGTGGAAGTGCCCTCTTACTAAGTTGGATGATATCTGGGTCTTTATGTTGTGCTGAAAGTAACTGCTCTCGGCTTAGGATATCCTTGTCTTGGCTTTCTAGTAGATTTGACTCATCTTCATCACCACTAAATTTTGGTAAAAGTTCTTTCTTCTCTTGCTTCTTGATATGGCGTGGTTCCATGCTTGTTTGAGTGCCATCAAGGTCAGATAAGAAAGTGTCATTCAAATCAATATCAACAGAGGAATTCGTCTCGTCAAAGGCTTGAGTATGGTCTACCTCCATTTCTCGTCTTCTGGCCATCGCTCTAGTAACAGCACAGGCCGGATATATGTCATCATCTTCATCATAAAACATGACATCTGGATTGATTTTCTCACAAACTATAGGATCTGGTACAACTTTTCCACCAGCTAAATCGTTGCCTAGCAACAACGAAATGCCTGGAACGGGAAGAGTAGGTCGAACACCTACGATAACAGGTCCAATAACTAAATCTGACTTCAAACTAATTCTATGCAGGGGAACATCAATGACGCCTAGCTCCACACCCTGTAATAAAACTGACCCACCAGTAGAAGTCTGCTCAGACAAAGGAAGCACGCCCTTCAGCAATAACGTCTGTGCAGCACCAGTATCTCTCAAAATCTGGACAGGTTTTATTTCGCTAGAGTCACCGAGTGAAACAAATCCCTGAGACATAAAGGGCTTATAATCCTCCATAGAATCAGTAGAACTGGACTGTGAACCCTGGACATCAGGAGTGTCAGAACAAATCGAAACTAAGGCTTCTCTATCACCTCTAACTGCCGCACAAGCATGTGGTTGAGTTTTATCAAAATCATTTTTTCTCTTAAGGGGGCCGACTATAGTTTTATTGTGTGAAAACTACAATAGCGAAACTCTTCATTTTTATACCATATATAAGTTACATTAACTTCAGTGTACATGCAAAGTTTGGGGGAAATCTACCGTCCAGGTATTTTTGAGGGACCGTCTCAAAATACAGGTACATTTACTATAGGATTATATAGGAAAAAGCCAATTTTTAGCACTTTTAAGCAAATTATACAAATACTACAATAGACATTTTGTTCAAACTATAATATTTGTTGAGTAATACTATATTATACAATATATGTAAGAAACACAAAATTCTACCGTCTTGTTACCTGAGGGGGCATCTCAAAATGCAAAAAATTAGCAAAATTTACTATTTTTATAGAGTATTACAAAATAAGACGTACAAAATGGATTCACATGAAAACATAATAAAATTATTGGA